TATGTTATAACTATAGTTTGTATAATTGCGCTCCATAGCAAATTTTATGTTTGCTATGGAGCTTTTTGATTTGTATAATTCGCTAGATACATCCAATTTTTATACAAAATGTTCAATTTTGTATAAATTCATTTATACATTGTAATTGTATAATAAGATCTATATTTGTATAATTATAAGTGTATAGGACAAAAATATATGTATTTGTATTTGTATATACACTTTTCTCTCGCTTTAATAAAAACACAAACACATTTTATACATTTGTATAACGAATGGGTAATTGTATACCGAATCAGATGGCAAAAAAATGAGATGTTTGCTGCGAATTACAAATAAAATAAACTATGGCTATAACATTTAATTTAAATTAATAGTTTGTTATTTCATACAATTTTCCCTATTCAGCATTAACACTAAATTTTATAATATAATTTAGGGATAATTGTACATAATAGCAAACTATTAATGTAAAATAAATAAAGTAGCTATCGTTTCATTTATTTCCTTTAAGGAGCAAAGTCTTGGTCAGTTTGCTATTAATGGGCCCCACCGATTTGTATAAGTTAAAAAAAAACTGACGTTATTCCCTTTTTATACAATCTCTTCTCCTCGTTTATATCTCCTATTTCCTTCAATTTCTCCCCAAAATCAGTTTGAAATTTCAAATCTCCACCTGCACGTTCTCAATCGCGATTTCAAAATCCCTTCAAAAATTTCAGGCACCGCCAAAACTTATCTCAATCGATTAATTTAAATTTTTGTCTATTTTTTTCAGTTTTTTGCTAAGCTATTTTTCACTATCAGTTCATAATCCATACAGAGTTTTCATTCAAACAATGGATGCCAGTCTCCATCTAAAAGATTCACAAGAGGTATACCCTTGCATGTCGAAATATTGTTGAACACCCATCGTTTTCCTTGGGTTTAACTCGGGATTTTGGGAAGGTTGCAGGTTCAATGTCCAAATCCAACGCAATGCAAGAGATCAAATCCAAATTGAAAAATGACCCAATCAGATTGGAGGAAATGAGTGCAAAATCGAAGCAATCCAACATCAAAATTGTGGAGGGAGGTAAGAAAGATCAGTCTCATACTGGGTCAAGTAAAAAAAAGAAGAAAAAACAACTAATTATACAGATGACAATGCAAAAAGAAAGGAAGTGGTTGTTTCTGGCTCATTGGAGCATGATGAGGTATTTGTATAATCATTATTTTTGTATATGTTACGATTTTATATTTTTCTTATATTTTCTGTGTTGATTCATGTCTTCTATCTGTTTGTTTATACAGTTTTATATAGTCACTATGTTAATATCCAAAGTTAAATGTATAAAATAGAACTATTTAACTATACATACAAGGTAAACAATTATACATTTGAAATTGGTTGTATAATGTATAATATTAATAGTTATTGTATTAGTAGTGTCACAACAACTTCTATATATATATACAGTATAAACATTTATACATTCGATACAGTTTTGTGCATTGTTTTATGTATAAGTTTTTGCATTTGTATAAGGATACTTTTTGTATAATGTTCATTCAGACATATACAATTCCACAAATTATAGTGAATTCAGTTTTTCAGTAATATACATATTCCCATTATATACTTATATAAACGTTTATATACACAAATTAAAACTTTATACAAATATACAATTGACAAATCTAAAATAATTGACATATACATATACCTATTGTATATAAATATACAAAATCAAATATCCAAAATAAGGACTAACCTGCTCTGTATAAATATACAAATTCGAATAAACAATCCACAGTTTCATATACTTATACAACTCACAACAACACTAATCGGTATATGTATATAACTTACAAATTCTAATAAACAGTCAACAGTTTCACATACTTATACATGTCACAACATCACTAATATGTATATGTATATAACGTACAGGGAATTTAGTTTTTCATTTATATACATATTCTGAATATACAATTATATAAATCATTATATACACAAATTAAATCTTTATACACAAATTTACAATTTCACACAGTGTAGTGGTACTGTTACTTTCACACAATATAGGTTTTTGCATTTGTATAAGAATCATATATCCAAAATTAGGATGAACCTGCACTGTATAAATATACAAATTCAAAATAAAAAGTCAATAGTTTCATATACGAATTATACATATCTTACTGAATCATATTTAAAACACCTATACGTATAAACTCTAAGCAAATCATAATGCAGTTTCATCTTCATTCATAGTTTCGACATCAAATATACAAATTCGAACAAAAATATTACTGTGAAAAGAATGAATATCCGATCACAAATTCAAAATAATCAACAATTTCATCTAGAAAATTTGCAAATCACAAATTTTCCTAGATTTCAAATTAACTATACAAATCATAAGTGTTAAACTCTATTACGAACAAGATATACACCTTTGAATCTACATTCAATTGAAATTGATGAAAGTTAAAAAGGAAATCTGATTTTGAATACACGTTGAACACCAATTTCGACCAGAAAAAACAAAATCAGAGAATTTTTTCGTCATGAAATTACCTCCTGTTGTTATCTCTAAAATCAATATGATCTCGATTGTTTGTATAGTACCGTCAACAGCTTGATCGATTTTCTTAACTGAGTTACAATGGAGTTCTTACTATTGAAGAAGACGTAGAAGGTAGGAAATTCGATTGAAACAGAATGTGCGTGACTTCAGTGAATTTTTTTCTAACCGAAATTATCGCCTTTTTATTTAATTTTTTAAACAATCAAAAATGTATATAAAATTGAAGAAATACCGAGATATACAGAAAGACAGCTCCATAGCAAACTAAAATTTTGCTATGGAGTGCAATTATATAAACTATAGCCATAACATACAATTATGAATTTTATATTTGCTATACATAAAATTTACTCTATAATTTAATGGAGTATAAATTAAAGTAATTGCTGAACACTAAATTTTATAATATAATTTAATGGAGTATAAATTAAAGTAATAACATATCTCTTAATCAAGATTAAGTGATAATAATTATATATATCGTGATTAAGTAAGAATTGTGTTTGTATTAATTCTATGTAAAGACAATAAATAGAGTAGATTTGTTAAAATTAAGGATAAATTTAAAAATAAATAAAATAATATACTTTTGAATTTGAAAATTTATTCATTTTAATTCACAAAGAGTGTTGAAAATTCATTTATATTGAAATGGAGCATGACGAGTACGAACATTCGAAATCCTTTCTTCACCTAAGATTGCGTAGAATATTAATGTACCTTAATGGGGAATGAATATTTTAGTTAAAATGAATTTGTCCTCGATAAATTCTCCATTTATGGTCCAAAGCATTAATAACTAAAATTAATCTTGGAAGAAATTTTTTGGTTATAAGTAGTGAGAATGATTTAGTTTCAAAAGAAAATAAAAAAACAAAAGCATAATTAAAAGTCGGATCTAATGCTTTTATAATTTTATGAGAATTAAGATATACAATACTCTATGAAACTTCGCTTATCTGTACAAATATATTTTCGTGAAAAAAAATTGTAACTCAAAAAAGAAAAATTCATCTCGATTATGGTGTTCACATACCAATCTCATGAACATAAAACATGTACCATGACTATAAATTACTACCTCCGTCTACTTTTAATTGCCATAGTTTTTTTTTTAGAATCAAACTATAAAAAACTTTGACTAACATTTTACGATATATTTTTTCATCATATTAATATGCGAAAAATTGAAATTTATAATACTTTTTGTATAGTTTTTAAATATCTAAATTTTTTGTTTAAAATATCAAATTAATGTAATCTATTTTACTTTAGAAATTAGTCAAATTAACTTTCGAAAAACGCAAGATGACAAATAAATCTGAACTATTAGATGACTATACTATATTGATTTTACTTTAATTTGTAACTCTAAAGAATTGAATTGATTAGTTTAGTATGGGTATATACTGAAAACGGATAAATTGGGGAAAAGGTTTTAATAGAAGGAGAAAATAGACCAATAATAATAATAGTAATAATTTTTAATATTATAAGATTAAAAATTATTTTGATATATATCTTTTATTTTGAAATTATAAGATTTAATTATTTCTTTTTACTCTTTAAAACCCCGTACTAAAGAAATAGACAAATAAATTTAAAAAATGGATAAAGTATATAGTACTCTTTTTTTTAATATTGAATCTATGGATCATTAAGCTACCAAACGCGCTAAAATTAAATTAAAAGTTAGTTTTTTTTTTCATAAAGGATTTTTAAAAAAAATAAATAGCTGAAGTGTTTGACACTTTGACTTTACTGAATTAAATGGCCCCAAGAATATCATTATTTTCAACGTGTGGGGTCCACTTGACCAAACCCGAAAACTTGGACTCGTTGTCGCCCCCCTTTTCCCGTTTTACACGTTTACCCAAAAATTCACAACACACTACTCTACTTCATAAATAATACTCCCTCCGTTTCACAAAGAGTTACATAATTTAACTTGATACGAAATTTTAAAAAATAAAGAAATTTTTTGAATCTTGTGATTTTAAATTAAAGTTATGTCAAATGTACTAAATTGTCCTTCAATCTTGTGGCTTTAAACGTGCCACGTGGAAAGCTAAAATTAAAATGTTACTAAAAAAAGAAAAAGGTCATTCTTTTTGAAACAGACTAAGAAGAAAAAAAAATTATTTTTTAAACGAAGAAAGTACTAATAACAATAATTTTCAAAAAATTATATTTATTAAAACATTATTATATAAATTGAGACGAAAGAAGTAATATATTGCGTCACAACTCTAAGTTTTGAAGTCTTGCAAGTGATAAATAAACCAAGAGAAATTTTAAAATAGAAAGAAAGGAAAAAAAAAGAATAGCGCATTATGTTATGTGGAATATGAAAAAGAAATCCACTTGTTTAATTAAACTAACCAATATAGTTGACCAAAACGACGTCACCTAAGCCCCACTTTGACTCTCCCTTTTATAAACATCCACACGAATAATATTCTCACAAATCACTAAAGGATAGCTAAAAATGGTGAGAAATAGGAGAGAAGAATTATACGTTACCGTTCCCAGCCTTTTCCGATGTCCGATATCCATGGACGTAATGAAGTCACCGGTGAGTCTCTGCACCGGCGTCACTTACGATCGGAGTTCCATTCAAACTTGGCTTTCACAAGGTCATAATACTTGTCCCGCCACTATGCAAATCCTTCCGTCTACCGATTTCACACCTAACCTCACTCTACGTCGGCTTATCAACGTCTGGATTCAGCATCAGCCGGCGAGCTCACCGGGATCCACAACGCCGTCTTCATCCTCTGTTACAAAGTCGGAAGTTGTTGAAATTGTCAAAAGTCTCAACGGCGAGGTCGATAGGTTGAGTTCCTTGGCGAAGATTGTGGAATTTGTTAAATGTTCTGGTGAAAACAGGAGGTTTTTTGTGAATTTGAGTGATGCGATTGTGAGTGTTGTTGGAGTTTTGGTGGATTGTGATGTGGTTGAGGTTTGTGAAGCGGTTGTTGCGGTTTTGGATTTGGTTGTATCGGAAAATGAAGTGAAAGAGCAGTTGAACAAAGAGATTTTGAAGAGCGATAGGAAATTTCTGCCGAAGTTTCTTTTGATTCTTCGAAAAGGAAAGTTGAGTTCGAGGATTCAAACCGCTCGGATTCTAGAATTCATCGCATTAGACGCGGATTCGCAGCGAAAAATGGTCGAGGAGCAAGGTTTACTCTACGAATTGCACGTATTCACTAGCACGGAGACGAACCGGTTCGCGATCGAAGCCGGTTTATCAACTCTAATCGCGGTCTCAACCACCAGACCGGCGAAAAAAGAGCTAGTCCGGTTCGGAATTGTACAAACCATCGGGAAAATCCTTAGCGGTTCGGAAACCGCTCGGGCGGTGGTGGAGAAGTCATTGAAGCTGTTGGAAACAGTAGCGACGTGTACGGAAGGCAGGTCGGCGATAGGTAAAGGCGAAGAGTGCTTGTCGGTGATAGTTACAAGGCTGATGAAGAGCTCGAAAGCAGCGACAGAGCACGGGGTGACAGTACTGTGGAGCGTGTGCTGCTTGTTTCGTGATACGGAGGCGCGTGAGGTGGTGGGAAAGGCAAATGGGCTAACAAAAGTGTTACTGGTAATGCAGAGTGATTGCTCCGCGGGGGTACGGCAGATGTGTGGGGAATTAGTCAAAGCATTGCGCGTGGTGAATAATAAAGATAAGAATTATTCAAAGTCGTGTTTGGCGAGTTATGATACCAAAACTACTCACATTATGCCCTACTGAAAATATAATAAAGGCCATACCACTCTTAATTTGTGTTGACTAACCAACCATACCAAAAGAATCAAACACTAGTTTTTATTTTCTTTAAAATAATTATTACTCCATTTGTTTGTTTATAGAAATAGAATTAGGTAAGTTTCATGCTGTAAATCCAAAGGAATTCTGCTAATGATACACATGACATCAAACTGTTGGCTAAATACATCATAAGACCGTGATATTTCTTCATTGTCGTCATTAATATTATTGTTATTGGTTTTATATTGTTGTCATGATTGATCAGTGGTGGCTTGTATTAGGTATTTTATTAGTTTACGGATGATATGATATTATGATGTGTTTATTATCCATAAATTATATAAAAATTAATACATTAATAATTTATTTCTTATCCAACTATCAACCAAACGATCTCATACCGTATCGTAGAGGCTAATAATAAAGTGATGTGCTGTAATAAGTGTGAGATGACTGGATCAAAGATGGCAGGTGAGCTGGAGCTGAGACTGACCTCAAAATTATAACCTGCATTCAATTAATATCCCTTCTTCAAAAAATAAATTTCGATATCATTAATTATTTCAACGCAATAGAACTAGCCAGCAAGTAAAAAATGTTGTTGATACTAACTAGTCGCAAGTGAAAATTATGTCATATTAAACTTGTTCAAATTCAAATGGATTTGATTCAAATTTAATTTATCCAAAAATTGAGCTATTTAGTCTAAAATAGCTCAATTTGAAAATTATGTCATACGTACCTCTAATTATGTTGCATCTTTTATAACAGGAAAAAGGGTCTGAAATATATTCGAACTTTGACCGAAATTACAGTAACGATATCAAACTTTGAATATGACCTTTTACCCCCTACACTATTTAATAATGTATTTTAAAGGTATATATATGCCCACGTGGACATCATAAATATTGCATAATTATAAATATTACGTGTCCACGTGAGCACATATATATCTTTTAAATACATTATTAAATAGTGCAGGGGCTAAAAAGTCTTCCATAAAGTTTGGTATCGTAACATCAATTTCGATCAAAGTTGAAGTATTTTTCAGACATTTTTCCCTTTATAATATGTTAACAGAGTCCTAGAAAATTATGCAACTTCCACCTATAATATGTTATTGCATCGCTTGATTAATGAGAAAAAGGTGTTTGGCCAAAGCAAAAAAAAAAGGTGATCCAAGAAAGCAAGCTAAATAACTATTTCGATAACTGATCAGGCCAAAAATGAAAGCGATCAAAGAAAGCATAATGCATATTATATTTTTTCAAATCTTTCAAGATGAAAATAGAGAGATTGACTTAACTCTATCTATGTGGTTGCATACAATTTTGCTTTGAGTTAGGAGTAAGGCAAGACTCTCTCTGACGGACCTTTTTATATTATATTATGATATATGACCTTTAGCCTTTTCACCACTTTGGGTTGTCAGCTCGCTTCACACTTTTATATACACTCTCGAACCTCCGATAAACAGAATCTCCATACATGCACTTTTTGTCTCCTAGCCTCCCCTCATCCATGAATCACCCCCACCCCCACCCCAACTTATACCCCACCTTAGGTGTTGTTTGGTGTCTCTCAGATCTTCCCTTCTTGATATATATCTAAATAGAATTAAATTTTTATTTGATTCATCTGATAATATAAGTACCTTCGTAAGGACTCCATCTCAATATCAATTTGCATTATCTTATTTTTTGGAAAACAAGAATAGTAAGAAATGAAATAAGTGAATGGAAATAGAGGAATATAGTAAGAATCGAATGTTGCAATATATGATGGAAGTTAACAAGTAAGCCATTTAGTTTTTATCTCCTTTATTTTTCCTTTTTATACTCATTCTAAATGCGATAAAGTTATATTTCGAAAGAGATAATGCTTTGATTGGAGAATATCCAAATCATGGATACTCGTCTTTTCCTTTTATTCAAATGATTAATTATTAAACTAATCAATTAATATTCAACAATCCGTTGTAGTCTAGTTGGTTAGGATACTCGGCTCTCACCCGAGAGACCCGGGTTCAAGTCCCGGCAACGGAATTTTTTTATTTTTTTTTGGATAGAATTTTATAGGCCTAAATATGAATCTATTATATTGTGTAGTAACTTTTATTATTTAATATTATTTTTTGATTTGGATCGATTTTTATAGGCCTAAATATGAATCTATGATATTTTGTAGTAACTTTTATTATTTAATTTATTTCTTTTCCCTGCTTTAATTTTGTTATTACAATTTCCTCCGTCCCATATTAGTTCGATTTTCATCGACCTGAATATGAATCTATTATATTTTATTAGTAACTTTTGTTTTGTAATTTGTTTCTTTTCCCTGCTTTAATTTTGTAATTACTGCTTTCTCCGTTCTATATTAATTGATTATTTTTTTTATACTCATATTAAGAAATTATAAATAAGATGGTAATTTTGCCAATTCACCTCTTAAGAACTTCTTTGGAACTTTATAAATAAGTGTGAATATTTTTAAAAAGAATTAATTGCAAGGATAATATGGGGAAAAAATCAATTAATGCTTTCTTGATTTAGTAAAGTGATCAACTTATATGAGACAACTATTTTTAGTATAATGAATTAATAACATACAATTGTGATATCGAAAAATCTCTTGTTCTTAAATATCAATTGTCTTTAGTTGCAATAGGAACATATTTCGCATATGTGAAGATTGAATTTCATTCATTTTTTGCTTGAAACTTTTGCTTTATTGGGTTGAATTCAGTCATTTATACTTAAAGTTTATGCACATATAATTAAAGTTTAATTATTATTTTTTTCAAACGTCAATCATATGCAACTTCAAATTTGTAAATTTTACACATCATGAATAGGTATAATTATAAGTTTGAATCATTTGATCGTCTAATTTACAAAATATGTACAAAATGTAAAGATCGTGTAAGTTTCGTAATGACGAAATGATCTGATAAACCCTTATACTTGTATGAATTTGTATTATGGACCATTCTACTTAACATTTTATCAACTGAACTCTTACACTCATTAAAACACAATATATCAAACATCTTTGACCATTGACCATAGTTATGTGAAATTAAGATGGATGAGTTGGCGAGGTATGTAAAGACAAGTGAATAACATATTTAAATTTAAAAAGTATGAAATAATAATTTTTTATTTATAAAAAAGTCATCTTCTTCCCCTCACCTCACCTTCTTCGGCCATCCCCGCACCAACCTTCTTTTTCAGCCTACCCACCACCCCAATCCCCCTTTTCAGCCATCCCCAACCCCTTCTTTCAAGCTTCAGCTACGCCCCAGTCCCCACCCATCTTTGCCTCAACTTTCTTTTCAGTCACCCCCACCCTATTGGTAGACCCAATTCTTTTTTTTTCTTTCATTTTAGTTTCATCAAACACTACTATTTAAGAATAAAATTTTCAAATACAAAAGGCTTACAAAGGAAGGAAAGAAAAGGAAACAAAGAAAGATTAATTTAGATCTAATTTAAGATTCAAAATTTTCTTTTCAAGACTTTCATTTTTCGATAACCCTCTTTTTTTTTATAATGAAGACAAGTTTAAACGGTAGGAAAAGAGACTAAGAAGGTGGAGGTAATGGTGGTTGTTGGTCAGGAGAGGTGGACGGAAGTTGGAAGAAGGTGAGAGAAATAATAATTTTACTTTAAAGAATTATTTACCTCTTATTTAATATTTTGATTAATAATTTTAAAAAATAGTTAATGAATATAATTAGGGAAAAGGGTCAAAAATATCCCTCAACTTTGTTTTATTGGTTGATTTTACCTCTGCCGTTAAAAGCAAGTTATTTTTACCCCTCCCGTCAATAAACTTAACAAATATACCCCTCTTTGGATGGAAAGCCCCAAATTAATTAAAATTACCCGATTTTATTTAAATTACACAATTTTAACCCGACCCATCCCACTTAATAATATAACCCCTTTTTTTTTTACACAAATCAACTTTGTTTTCCCATCACCACCAAAGCCACCACCCTCTCCGAGATCTCCTTCACACCACCGCCAAAACCACCACCTCTCCCACTACTCTACCTCCTCCAAGTCAGCAGCCCTATCAAGAGTCAATTTCTTGCTTTCTAAGACCAAATCCCTTCTGGTTTCCAGCAAAAGTTAACATAACCAAAAATTGTAATCCCCAAGAATAACACAATTATCAAGAGTAGAAAACAAAATCAGCTCTCCACTTGAGCAAAGCACCCTCATAAATACCCAATTCTCCACTAGGCAACTCGATCCTAAGCAACTTAATTTCATCAAAATTCTTCAAAAGTTGTGTAGGGGAGTGATGGGTAACAAATTTTTGCTCAAAATCATCATCGACAAGAGACGATGAAGCAGTACATCGTCGGGAAGAAATGGAGATCAACTGAGTAAGGGATTGAAAGGGTTTAACAAAGTAGCTGGTAAAGCTACCGCTAAAGCTGCCACAAAGAACCCAAAAGCTACCCTTAATAACACAGATGCATATAAAGTAGGCCACCCCAGAAGAAGAAATTGAGATTGTGGGGTTTGAGGAATTAGCTAAAATAGTCGATTTGTACCAAGAAAGTACTGATTTGTGAAAATTCCAAGAAATCGATAGCAAAATTGCGTAAACAGAGATGAATAACAAGACCCATGTTCTTCTTTTGCTCATGATTTTGATGAAGAATATAGAGGAGATTATAAAAAAATAAAAGTACAATAATTAAGAATAAACACTTTGAAATCTATGATGGTTTGTGGCTGATGACTTGGAGGAGGTAGAGTAGTGGGAGAGGTGGTGGAGATCTCGGAGAGGGTGGTGGCTTTTTGGTGGTGGTTTAAGTGGAGGTGGTGGTGGGGGAAAACAAAGTTAGATTTGGGTAAAAGAAATGGGTTATATTATTAAGTGGGTCGGGTCGGATCGGGTTAAAATTGTGTAATTTAAGTAAAATCGGGTAATTTTAATTAATTTGGGGATTTCCATTCAAAGAGGGGTATATTTGTTAAATTTATTAACGGCAGGGGTAAAAATAACTTCCTTTTAATGGCAGGGGTAAAGTCAACCAATAAAACAAAGTTGAGGGGTAATTATGATGTGTTATTAATTTATGTCACATGGATTTGACATGTCATCTATTTGAGGGAGAGTGAGCTACACACATGATAAGATGGATTTAAAAATCTATCTTTTGATTGAGTTTAATGATTTAGTTGGTAAAGTATTAAGTAAAAATATTCACAATACAAACG